CATCCATCCATCCATCCATCCATCCACCCATCCACCCACCGATCTATCCATCCATCCATCCGTACCTCCGTCACTGTTCTTTCCTGTGTTCGTTCTTTACTCACTCTATCGTTATATCATCCATTAGTTCATCAGTTAAAACTTAATATGATATAAAAAATCGAAAAAGTCATACTCACCAAAAGACGAGTAAAGTGATGATAAAACTGAGATGGCTCCAATTGTCCACTGGATCTTCTCATCTCGTTTCTCAACAACACACATTCGTACAAACCATTTCCATMTGKCTGATAAGCGACGTTYAGCGACAAGCACTCTGGTAAACGCTTACAGCTTAAAAGACAACGAAAGCCGTCGTAAACTTTGGTTGTTAGGATTGACTGGCTGGTTTTTAACTCTTGAAATGACATCTTTGTAAAGTACCATCCGTCCGAATAACAACCAATGGAACCGAAAATAGGATAGCATAGAAAAAAGTAGAAGATCGGGTTTATAAGTTTTAAGTACATCGAATCTGCATGCATGCTGATGATTCTTTTCAGAGTTTGGCGAAAAAAGATCCCCAGATCAAAGCTATGAACAAACTTTATATGAAATTTAGTTTTTAATAAATGAATTCAGCTGCTTTGAACTTCATTGTTTTTAATATGGCTTTTARCCTACGTTTAATTTGAAAATGAATTTTTTTTATTGACACACGGATACAAAAATTGTCAATGAAGTGAAATATAATATTTGACAATTATTCGCCGAAGGCGAAGTGAATATCGGGGAATATTTACCGAGACGCGAGTCTTTGAGCGGCAAGGTAAATACTCTCCGATATTCACTGAGGCTGAGGCAAATGATTGTTTTAGTATAAATACACAGATGATTCTTAAAACAAAAAAAACAAAAAACAAAACAAAAACAAACAAACAAACAAACAAACAAACAAACAAACAAACAAACAAACAAAAAAAGAAGATTAAAAATTTTTTTTTCCGGTAACAGCAACAAAGCGGCCGGCCGCCATTTTAGATTATCGCTGGAGGTGATTATCGTGTGATACCGTGAGTTTCTCGACCAATTAGCGCGCGAGATTTTCAATAATCACCTGTATATTTTTACTAATATATTATATTGAGTTCTACTGAGGAATAAGCTAGGGAAATTGTAAACTAAAGATAAATTCTTGGATGGACTGTCATGATAAACGTATTCACTCGATGAATTGCTATTGGAATTCTACGGGATTTAGTGTAATGATAATGAAAGTTTTCAATCTTATTTGGCTAATAAACTGGAAATTGTAAACTAGAGGTAATATAAATTCTTGGATGGACTGTCATGATAAAAGTATTCACTCAATGAATTGCTATTGGAATTCTAGRATTTATTGTAATGATAATGAAAGTTTTCAACTTCATTTGGCTAGTAGATGTCRTCGACAATGCTTTTGCGTTTTTGATCATTTTTTATTGCGTTTTTAACACTTTGTTTGAAGTTCAT